CCCCAAAACCCCAAAACCCCAAAACCCCATGAATTCATTGCTATCTTTTACATTAATTTAGCTAAGCTGAGATAAAAATCATAATTTATTGTAAAAATTACTATAATAATCCGTATTTATTAATAGATCCAATCTGATATAGACCATTAATTAGTTTTAATTTTTAATAGTACTAATAACAGTAAAATATGTCTAGCATTTTGAAGGTGAGATTCAGTTCAATGATATCTATTCTTGCTTTGATAATTTTGAGCAGCTCATAAATCAAAGAAGCAAGTGGAATTCAAATATTGAGCTACTCTAATCCTTAATTATTCTATTCAGCAGGGGTTGCAAATCCACTTCTCTAGGGCAGCTTAAGATTGGATATTAGCTTGTAACTAATAAGATGGAATATAAACAGCTGGAACAACACAAACAAAGACATCTATGTAGCTTTCAATATCATTTACGGTTTAAATGCAAATAATGATTCGGATCAAATTAGGTGTGAGTATCAGTATAATCACACTGTTACAGATGAATTCATATTCTACGATCAAACTGTTTTTGCAAGTAACGGGACTACAAAGAATGATACTATTCAGAACATAGACTCATTTGAAACCTACCTCAACGGAATTTATGCAGAGCCAGGAAGAATACTTGGAAATTATTAAATTGTGGTTTAAAGATATTACACAAATAATGATAACTAAACTGATGTTTAATTTAATAGCTCCATAGCTACTACATAGCAGATAAGAATAGGAATCGAGAGAGGGTATTACACCAGTAACTTCACTCAAGTTATTGAGGAATAAAGATATTTCACTGCTTCAACAAGATTGATGGCAAATGCATTATACTTAAAAACAGCTTATATAGCAATAGCTTTTAGTGCCTTGTTGTTTCTCTTTTCATCTTGAAATTCAAAAATTCCTCAAATGCTTTGAAAACTTGATATGGCTATTAAAATATTTTTAGTCTATTTTTATTTTCATTTCTAATTTTTTTAAAGCTTTTGATACAATGCTCTTTGGGGTTTTGGGGTTTTGGGGTTTT